CCGCCCGTGACGCGGACGAGGAGGCGGACGTGGATTTTGGGACGCTATCTAGTAAATTTTCTTCCAGAAAGCATTATCACAAAACCACGTCGCACTTTCAGAATTTACGGCTTCGAGAAGAGGGGGAGGAGGAAGAAGAAGGGAAACCTCGGCGTGGGCCCAAGAACACACCGTACTGGTACTTCTTAAAATGCAAGGCCCTCATTAAACAGGACAAGGTTTGTTCCCAGTTCTTTGCTTGTTTGTTAAAGAGCGTTTGATGATAGAGAGGCAGCACGGTGTTGTAGACTTGCTGGGCCAGGAGCTAAAAGAGGATTCCGTTTGCAAAACCTGGACTACGGCGCTGGTCTTTCCTATGCCTGTTTCCCCTCCGAAAATAAGAATCAAGTTAACTAGTCAGTTCTGAGGGTGTGCAATTAGTTCCTCTACAAATTCAACCACTCCTCATCTCCTCCTCCGTTCAGCCAGTCTGTCACCCCCCGTGGCAGTCCTGGGTTTGATATCAAGTGTGCTGCGGCTTCTCACTCCAAACACCTCCAACGCTGTCCCATGTGTATTGTCCTGTGTGGTCACTGTATGTCTTTACAGAAGAGAAGTAAAATAAGGAATGCGAGGAACCCTGTGCTCTCTAGGACTTCTACCACAGTCTATTAACACCCATTATAACTGATTCTGTTGCTGCTTCATCATGGATTTCTCTCCTTCCTGCAGCTGGCAGAGGCTCTGGAGCTGTTTGAGGTGCAGATGCTGAAGGAAGAACGTGTCCAGCCAGAAGAAAGCAACTACACGGTTCTAATAGGTGGCTGTGGCAGGGTTGGCTACGTGAAAAAGGCATTCAGGCTCTACAATGATGTAGGTTTACGTCCTCTCCTCATTAAAACTTTCATTACGTTTTTAGCCAAAACTGGTTTCAAGCATTTGGTCGTGAGTCTCTGACTCCAAAATGCCTTTGAGTCAATGTTTACATGTTGTTACCCTGAAAATCTTAAAAGCAAACTATGAAATTCTGGAACTCTTTTCCTAAAAAGCCAGTTCCATTTCTTTTTTTCCTCCCTTTAGATGAAAAAACGAGGCTTACTCCCCACTGATGCCACTTACACAGCCCTGTTCAATGCCTGTGCTGAATCACCATGGAAGGACTCAGGTCTGCAGAGTGCTCTCAAGTTACGGCAGCAACTAAAGAGCAAAAATCAAGAGCTGAACCTGATAACTTACCATGCTCTGCTGAAAGTGTGCGCCTTGTGCTCAGATCTCAGGATGTGCTTTGATGTACTGAAGGTAAATATGTGACTTTTCTTGTATTAAGCGTAGTCTACTCTATTTAAAACTCCTAGAAGCTGCCATATTGCGTAGATTTCTCTATTTCATTTTAAGCTCAGGTCATTTTAGAACAAGTAGTCATATTTTTGTATTGACTTTTGATTTTTATACAACAAAATAGTGCTGATACATATCAGGTAAAGTTTAAGTAGATAAAAAGAGGCAGCTGCAGGCTTAAACGTCGTTTGGCTTTAAACGTCTGTTCTGATCTGTCAACAATTTGTTGAACAGAGTATTTGCGGGGTTCACATCTCCTCTATCTCCTTCCCTCCTTTTGAGAACGCATATATTGATAGCTAGCTTCTTTTATGGCTCTTAAAGCACCTCTTCTCAGAGGGGCCAGTCCGGCAGTACCCAAAAGGATTCCTGCCCCCAAGTTCTCCGTAGCTCCCATAAGGGAGAAACTAGGATCTATGCAGGTACTGTCAGGACTTTTTTCCTCCTGCAGCTATCATTCTGCTCCCGGTACTTGGAGTCTGCCCTGTGCTTTGTCGTTGCTCTGTCCCCAGAAGGCAGCGGCAGTACTTTGTGCTTCGCAGCCAGCTGTGGCAGACTGTAGGGGTGAATGGGAAGTTTAATGCTCTCTCTCCTCTTTTAGGAAATTGTGCACAAGGGTCACGTTGTCACAGCTGAAACCTTCAGCTTCCTTCTCATGGGCTGCATAAAGGACAAAGACAATGGCTTCCGCTATGCCTTGCAGGTCTGTCTTCGTGTACTCAGTGGGAAGGAAAAACATGACGTTGCATCTGTTGTTGTAACTCGTCACTTGAGCCTGCAGAAGGCAGCAGGCTGCTCAGAGCTGATGAAAACAGGAGGAGCTCAGCTCCTCCCAAGACAAGTTCTGTAAACTAGACTTCCATCAGGATATCTCATAGTGCAAACACCTGTAAAACTGTTCTGGATGATCTCATAGGACTGTACTAGCTCTAGGTGTCTATTCAAAGTCTAATGACATCGCATCACGCTGTAAACTTACTCCCTTTCAGCAGGTGGATATGATTAACAGCCGGCACTGTAGATATACTAAGATAGGCTTACATCCTGCTAGAAATGCTCCTGTTGTTTAATATCACATGTACCTTATGTTCATCTTCCCCTCTTCAGGTTTGGAAACAAATGACTAGACTTGGGATAAAGGCCGATAGCCACACTTACAATCTGATGCTCCGTGCTGCAAGAGACTGTGGAATAGGCGATCCAGTTTTGGCTTCTCAAGTACTGCTAGGACCCACTGAAGAGAATTCATCTCAGCTAAGGCTTGCACCCAGTAGGCAGAAACAAAAGGCGAGAAGTCAGAGGAAGAAGGGATCAGAGAGTGCAGCTGCTGTCCAGCTGGATGTGGAAGCCATGGAAAAGCAACTGTTTCAGGAGAACTCTGTGCAGCCTGCACAACAGATCAAGCAACAAAACACAGATGTGAACTGGGCTGAAACAGAACCAATACTGGCTGGTCTTGCCAGTGCTAACATAGCTCACAGCGGGACTGGAGCGTTGATGAGGACAGACCAGACTGAGACAGAGCAGGAACAAGCAAGCCAAAGCCAGAACCTGCATTTCTGCAACCTGCCTAACTTACTGGATTCCAAGATGCCCGATGTGGCCACGGTTTCCTTGGGGACAGTAGCCACACCATCTGATAGACTGGTTTTGATGGGGGATGTGGAGGGCTTCTTGAATAAAATGAAAGAGGATGACGCAGAACCCAACATTAAAACTTTCACATTACTGGCTGAGCTGGTGGAACCCCAAAGCCCATCAGAGTCCTCTCTGTTGGCAATCCTCAATGAGCATAAAGTGAAAGTAGATGTGACTTTCTTTAACACTTTAATAAGAAAGAAAAGTAAACAGGGAGACCTTGAAGGAGCAAAGGTGAGGAAAAACCCCAAATTGGCTCTACTGCCACCTTATTGTCTCGGGCCTCCAGTGTTACCTGCGTTTTACTGTGAGACGCATTTCTGTATCCGCAATATAAATTGGGAATCTTTAACCTGAGGACTGGTTTGTGGAAAATGGTACTTTCTGAATATTTATGGATTCTGTTTTAGCATCTCCAGCTCTGCCTGGAAAGCTACAGTAAGACTTTTTGGAAACTGATGTCAGCACTTGCCTCTTGCAGGGCCTGCTGCCAGCTCTAGCGAAGAGAGGAATATCGCCTAACCTCCAGACGTTTTGTAACTTAGCAATTGCTTGCCACCGAGAGAAGGATGGACTGCAGTTACTCTCAGATTTGACGGTAAAAAAAAAAACAAAAACAAAACACACTTAGGTTCAAACTTCAGGAAGGCAAAGCAAGTGAACTGTTAAACTTATAAAAAGACTTGCTGTGTTTTATGTGGTCAGCGAGTGTTTTCACTCCCAAGAACATGTAACTCTTGAATAACTGACTGAGAGCTCAGCTGGTCTGTCCCGTGCCTGCACTAGAACAGTAGAGGGGTTGCAGGAAGGGATGTACTGACACTGTAGAAACTGCTATGTGGATCCCAAGAGCTGTGCTCCTTGTATAAAGAGGTGTCTGTATGCCTTCTCCACTCTAGGAGTCCTGCACTAGGCAGCAGACAAGCTTAACTGGGCTGTTTTTGTGGTTTTCAGAGGTCTGGAGTGACTCCCAACAAATATATCTACAGCACGCTTATTGCTGCCGCTGTGAGGCAGCTGGACTACCGTTACCTCATAGAGATCCTGCGAGACATGAGGAACAACCAAGTACCCCCCAATGAAGTTATCATAAGCCAGCTGGAATTTGCAGCACAGTACCCTCCTAATTTTGACAAGGTAGGTACCCATGACCGGTCACACTATGAAGGCATCAGTGCTTATCAAAATCGAATGGGGTAGTTGATAGACTACTAACTAGCAAGGGGAGGCATACCAAAGGATACCAAAAAGTAGGTGACCTAAGACCATAAAGGAGCTTTTCTTTGGCGTTTGTGTGATCGGGCTGACAGTTACTAGATAGCTGTTTCTTTAGTAGAAGTCTATAGCTCTTACACATTTAAGTAAGCTCTCTTCTAATAGAAAACTTTGTTGTGTTTCTCTTTGCAGTATAAGTCAAAGAACACATACCTGGAAAAAATTGATGGTTTCCGTGGCTACTACTATCGGTGGTTAAAAGTAATGGCAGGAGAGGAGACTCCCCACCCCTGGGAGAAATACAGAACAGCTAAACGTTCAGAAAATGGAAAGAAGGAAGAGGATGTGCAGGTGCAGGGCCAGCAAGGACAGAAGTTACAGTAATCAGGATACTCCATATGATAGCTGAAGTCTTGCATATTCCATGTGCTAGAAGAACTTGGCCTTTCTCCTTAAACTGCCTTGTAGTAAAGCAGCTTTATATTTCCATGAATCTGAGTTCTTGTCCTAAGTAGTAAATGAAGTACTTCTCCTTTGCGGTAAGGAGCGGTAAATACATTTTCAGTGAACTTCCTTAAACTGCAGAGGATTAGGTAGGCTGTAGTTCTAACAAACCCTGTGCTAAACAAGCAAACTCAGGCTTAACTGAGCTCTCAACAGTGGATTAGCTCATTGCTAGTTTTGTCTCTTCCTCCTGTGTTCTACGTGTATCGGGGTGCTCAAGAAGTGACTTGTAAGTCTACGGCGACTGCTGGCATTCTTACACTGATCTATGCTAATTCCAGATTGGAAACCTTTGCAGAGTTCCAGTGAAATTTAGTTTTCTTCTGCTACACAGCGTTGGTAGGAGGGGGTCGGGTCAGGTCAGACTGGAGTTTTGAGAATTCTGCCATCTCCTTTCCATACACCCCTTTAACTTCAGCTATTTGGGGGTGGGTAGGGAATAAGAACTGGTTTTGAAAAAAAAACTTAGAGTACTCTGCAAGAAACAGAGCCGCTAAACAAAAAAGAAAAGTCAGCCTTGGTGATAACGCAACAGGAGAACGGGCATAGAAACGTTTTGCCAGCACCATGCTCTCAGAAAGGTGGAGTTTATTTTAAAATCAAAGGGCTACACAGAAAGCTACTCCAAAACAACAGCAATTGTATACAGATACAGATATGATCCAGGTAAGTACGATGCTGTTCTAATGGCAATTCAGAAAGATGCAATCACACAGAAGGTAGTTCTAACTGCATGAATAGTCCATAACGTAGGACGATACCTCTCAGAGATGAAAAAGGAGTCCTGTGTCTAAATTCTTCACCCGGAACAGCCTCTGCATCCGCAGTGAGTGCATTCAATAATTCTCCCCTGGAGGAGAAACACGATAAAGATGTTTAAGCCAAGCTGTGGTGAGCACACAGTCCAGTAGGCTTGAGCCTCGAGGTGGAAAGGCTGCTGCCTTCTGAATCCGTGTGTGCAGGCGGTGGTTTCTGCAGTCTCGTTTTCCGTTTTCCATACACGCTTTAAATGACTGCATACCAAACTTGGTAATAGCTGTAAAAGCAGCTAGATATTAACTGTACTAGCAAAAAGGTAGAATGTATTAGAGCTAGAATTTTCCAGAAAGCATTGCCTCCTGTGCCATCTCTGACCAGGGTAAGTTAGAATTGCTACTGCAAAGGTCCAGACAGAAATACAGGGATTAAAAAAAAAAAAAAAAAAACGAACACTCACCACTTCCAACTTGCTTTTTGGGACCCTACAGATGCAGTTGGTTCCAAAGTTGGTATCCCGCGTCTGGATGCACCGCAGACAGCAAAGATTCTCGTAACCCTGTTTCTTCCACTTTGCAATCAGGTTTTTGTCAGCATATCCTTCCTTGATGCAGTATTCGTAGAGCTCTGCAGAGAAGCAGGCAGTATCACAAACGGCTCCCAGTAATCAGTACGAGAACAACCTGGATTTACCAGCTAGCAGTTAGAGCTAGACAGATGCCAGTTTTCCCTTCGCAGGAAAAAGTACTTCTGTTTCTCACCTCTGCTGATAGCTTTTCTTTTATAGAAGAGGTCAAAAATGTAACGTGTCTTCTGGTGATGAATTCTGAAGATAGGCCAAAGGGATTCCACTTTCCTCTTCCCTTCGTGAGGCTCAGTCTCCGCTGGGAGGGAACACAAAAGTTAGAGTGCAGCTAACTCTCCCAAGCCAGCTGGCTGCAAACTCATTTCTTTAGTCACTTTACAGCAAACTGTTCCAAGAAAATCCATAACTTTGAAAACATGACAGAGATAAGAACAAGGATAACAGGAGAAGATGCAAATGGATGGCACCTGACCCAATACAGTTCCTTAAGGAAATGAAGATGGAAAGAGAAGGACGTTGGTGCTGACACGTCCCACGCTGGGATGGAATGCAACTTCATGGCCTCCTGCGCTTGTCAGACCAGAGCGACAGCACAGACTAGAACTACCAGTCCCTCTACGCGCACCAGCAAGCTTCAGCCAGAGGCTCAGAGCGGAGCGCCCTGAACGGCTGTATGTCACATCTCAGCTTGGAACAGTGCTCTGTCTGTAACTTGGACAACCACAGAAGAGGGACCAATTCCAAGCTAAATCCTATCTTCCCATATACCCTCTACAACAGAGGCAAGAATCTACTGTCACTACAGAACTCCAACGCTAGGCAGAGGTATAAAAAGGCTCATTTACTGCAGCTGTGCAGCTGTGCTTCTCAAAGCAGTTAAGGATTAGCTAGTTTCAGGGACCCATCCCTGAGAACATCCAGCTTTGCCGCTTACCTTCTCTCATCTTCTGATCCAGCTCATCCAGCGTTGGCTCAATCAGTTCCCAGCCATCTGGGGGAGGCTTCCTGCTTCTCTTCACTTTGGGCATTGCCTCAAAAATGAGGAGGTTTAAAGATGAGGTAACAGGAAATAGGGTTTACCAGCACTCAGATGCGTGGGTGCCTCAAAGTCCTGAGCGTCACCAGAAGAAAAGAAAAAAAAAGAGTTTTTAGAGATACTTCTCCTAGCACTTTCCATTTTCCACTTCGATGACCAAAATTAACTTTAACAAGCCTGTGAAAGAGGCAAAAACAGCCGCCCTGCGGCCCCCGGGATACCAGCACATCCTGAGGCACGTACTGCAGCAGCCCCACCACAGTAAATCATTGTTTTCTCTCTCACCAAGTAAACGAACAGCGGCTCCCCCCTTCCCTGCCCCCATTTCGGGTTACATCGCCCTTTTCCCGGCCCCAAGCACCCATTTCTTCCAGCCGAGAGGCTCCGGCTGAAAACCCAGGAAGGACGCCTGGCCCCGCCGCGGCCCTCGGGACTCG